TAAATTAAAGCAAAAGAACGCAAATTACATTTCCGCCCATATTTCTGAAATAGGGCTAATCAGCAGTTCTTATCATATTTATATCTTATATTTTTCTTTCAAGCTTTGCTGGATGTTTAGTGTAACACTCAAATTTAGTATCTTACAAATATTTTTAATATTTTGCTGTGTTCCCTGGACTTTAATAGTTAGGCTAGTTGTTAGTTAGCTAGCTAGTAATCTTGACTGTAGCAAAAGTGGCAAGTTGCTACAAAGCTAAGTACTAAAGTAAGATTTAAACACTAAAAAACACCTTAAGTACAGCAGTGAAGCATTTCTACTCTGTAGAATGAGGAGTGAAAGCATTTAGCCTGTTTGGCCTTTGCTAACAGACCCTGATGACCTCCAGCCTCCACAGCAGGGCCTTTATGAAGGACATTTGCAAGTGAAATAAGTTCAGCATCAGCTTCACTCCCAATAGGAGTGAACATGATGTTTGGATTCAAACTTGAGCTCATCCTGAGCCACAATAGATCCTGCAGTAACGTACTAGTACTATTGCTCATTTTGAGATTGTTGTAAGAATATTATACGTTTCACTGATCTCTAGAAATTTGTGCTTGTTCTAAGTACATTTCCTATTAAATTTGCTTGTTTTGTGCATATTTCAACATTAGCTACTGCATTATTCCAGCTGTTTACTCCTGTAGCTGTGAATTAGTTATGCAAAAGGCCAGTCCACTGCACAGTTTACTGTTCCTCTATTCTTATAAAAGCCTGTATAAACAGCCAGCGAAGAGATTCAGCTGCAATTGTAGCAGCCATACAGGACTTGCTAGCAACCGAGCACTTTATTCAATACTTTATTTAACAAAAACGGATCTACAAACTGCGATTATAGTGTAAATCTATCAGAATATTGAAATGAGTAAAACTAAATAGTGAAAAAAACAGCCTCTTCAGTGGACACAGACACAATTCCACTCACAGTGACAGTATACCCTGAGCTTCAAAGGTTTGGGTTCACCTAGTCTCATGTTGCCAGACGTGATCTTGTAAAAGCCTCGGGTTCACTACAGAATTTTTAAAGTGCTAACAGATTATGAAAAAGCATCTTACACTGTCTGACTGGTTTCTGGATATTTTTAGGGTTGCTGAAATATTGGAGATCACACACAACTTTTACGCTGTAGCTGGACTGAAGTGAACTCACTGAACTGACACAAACTCATGTATTCTCTCGTTACTAGGACACACAAGTAAACAAACATGGAGCTGCTGCCGTTTGCACTGACACAGTAAAGAAGCAGCAGGTAAACATGTTGAAGTGAGGATAACGGATGTAAAGGTGTGCTTAGTGTGGTATCTTAAAGTTTTAAAGGTACAGAAACACGACTGTGCTCATGCCTTAACCCTCTGTGGTCTGAGGTCATTTTCTCGATTTGTTCATATCTTCTAAAATTCTCTTTTAAAGGCCCTTCATATAACATGATACTCATATGTTTCATATCAAAATGCAGCGACTTCAGCAGCTGTAAACTCTCTGCACGCCATTTCACACGTGTCTCCTATGTGGACTGAATGAAGAATGAAGGGTTTCTGGCATGATGGGTCAGTGCTTAGTGATTTCCACTGGTCAGCTAGTATGCTACTCAGCAGCAGTGGAAGTTGATAAGTTGGTTACCAGCGAAACCAGCATATGGTATGTTTTGATGTTGGTGCGCTGGTCAACCGGTATGACCATGCTGGGGTGACCAGCCAAACCAGTGCCAGACCAGCACAAACCAGCACAGTCCAGCTTGAATTACTGGCTAGTCTGTGCTGTTCTTTTCAGCAGAGTTTTAATGTCCAGAGTGCAATCAATAAAACAAGCAGAACGAGCTAGCTAGTGAAATGCTATCGCCAGCTAACAGAACCGTTTTTCTCCGTAAGATATATTTATTTTTATTCTATGTATTTTGTTCTCTACACTTGAGATTCACTAGGGTGTTCTGGGGGCTTTTCAGTCGTGCTAACTTACGCTACCTCTATGTGCTAACATCAGGCTTGTTGCACAACAGTGCCCCCTACTGTAAGCACCGCCTTCATGTTGTTGAATTGTTTGAGAAATTTCTCAGTTTGTTCTCACTCTACCCTCCTACTTGCTTAAAAATGATGGTTCTTCAAGGGTTCTTTATTAAAGAAAATGGTTCTATAGAGACCGATGAACACTCAAAGAACTCTTTGCATGATTATAGGGGTTCTTTACATTGCAAAAGCGTTCTTCAGATTGATGTAGAATGTGTTGAATACGGTTCTGTGAAGGGCCTTTTTGAAAAGGGTTCTATATCGCATCAAAAGGGATTCTTCTATTGTTATGATGTCAAGCTTGTAATAACAAACAGAACCATATAGAACCAGATTCAACACGTTCTCCATCAATCTGAAGAACCATTTTGCGATGTAGAACGCTTTATTTAGGCAAATGTTTCTTTGAGTGTTCATGGCTCTATATAGAACCATCTTCTTTACTAAAGAACACTTAAAGAAGTGTCATTTTTAAGTGTGTACATTCCCTGCTGAAAAAACCCATAGAAACTATTAAGTGTTTCTTAAGTAAAATACTAGCTATGTTTTTCAGGACATTTTAAATTCAAATTATCATGTCTTCTTTGTTGGTGTGCACTGACTAGCATTAGCACAGAGCTGCTTTACGATCAGCTAAAACGTGCAGATGTTATTTTTATTTAATTGAACAGCAACAGAAGTAAATGTTCATATTTCAAGAGAAGTGAGGCGTCCCTCAGTGTGTACGTGTGTGTGAGGATGTGGCAGCGTGTTTCTCAGAAATCGACCCACAGAACACTTCAGGGCCTCGCGTGAGGTGTGAAAAAATGCAAAAACCAGCACACACACATTCTCGTCTGTTCTAAAGTTACCCTCAGGCCCACTGGCTCAGCTGAGCTGCAGTGAAATCAGTGACATATTTGACTTCTTCGGCACAAGGTAGCAATTTTATCAACCCGTGTTACACCTACCAACGTCACCTGCTTCTTCTTTGAAACATTCTTTGGAATCTCTACAGTACAGCACTGTTCAAAAGTCGCCCCTCTTAACTAATGTAATTTCCATTCATAGCATCTATTAGGAGCGATTTATTCATGTTCCAGGAGATATTTCTGAAGAGATTAGATACAAGATAATCCACTTGCATAGGGAAGCAGAAAGCGAACAAAAACAGGAGCTCAAAAATGGATTAAAAGCTACAGAGAAAATTAGACTCCTTACAACCACCTGCAAGACCTGGTAGACACTAAAACTGTCCCCATCAGATAAACAGCACTTAAAGTTTTCATCTTTGAGAGAGAGGAGAAAATCAAGCTGCTTCAGATCTGAAAACATCCATGTTTCTGTCCATCCTTCCACTGTGAGAAGACGACTCAACACTATAGGTCTGAAAGGATGTGTAGCTGTCCAGAAGCCTCACTGAGAAAATGGAAAAAAAAACATCTGCACAACAACACAGAACCTGGACATCTGAGGTGTGGAGGAGGGTTCAATGGAGAGTCTCAGTTTGAAATCTTCTGAATTAGCATAAGGCAGCATGTAGGCCATCTGCGCCATGAGAGGCTTTGAACTTTGTCCATATATAGGACCAAGAATAGTCGGAAACCCTTTGCATGCTTAAATGGTTTTCTGCATGGTGAAATTGTTCTTCAGATTGATGGAGAATGTGTTGGTTCTATGTGGCACCAAAAAGTTAGCTGCTATTGTGACAATATCAAGCTTGTAACAGAATAGCAGAACACTTTTTGGTGCTATATCGAATGTTTTTCAAAAAAGTTCTATATAGAACCATCTACAACATGTTCCTTTTTGGAAGGGTTCTATATAGCACCAAAAACGGTTCTTCTATTGTTACAAACTTGATATCGTCACCACTAAAGAACTCTTTTTGGTGCCATAGAGAAACATTTTCAAAAACAACACAACAATCTGAAGAACCATTTCACCATATAGATAAGCTTTTAATTATGCAAAGGGTTCTTTGACTGTTCTTGGTTCTATACAGAACCTTTTTCCTTACTAAAGAACCCTTGAAGAATCATCTTTTGTAAATGTGATGTGCCCGTCAGTCCAGCATGGTGGAGAATCAGAGTGAGGCTGGGGATGTTGGTGATTTGTTTTTGTTTTGAAAGCATGATGAATGCTGATAAGTCTCATCATGCAGCGTCCCTCTGCAGAACATCTGACTGAGAAGAAGTTAATTCTACAGGGAGATAACGAGCCGAAACACAGCACAGAGCTCTGAAGATCAAGACTAATAATCAAACAAAGAAGCTGCTGGTGTTCCTAAAACAATGGACTGACCACCCCAGTCCAGACCTCAACACCGCTGAATGTGAAATGGGTTTATTTGAAATTGTGAGAAGCAGAAAATGCAAAACCAACTTCTTAGACTGAACTTACACTGAAAAACCTCATATTATATATATATATATATACACACACACACTCACGTATGTGTACATATGTGTATATATGTGTATATATATATATATATATATATATATATATATATATATATATACATATAGTCTATTATGATATGTAATTATAATAATGACAGGTAATTATAATAGAAATGCTGGAGTTAGTATTTGTTAGTATTTACTTACTGCTACACTATATATATATATATATACACTCTACACTTACATTCACTTTTATCGTCCCACACTAAACACACACCTACCAACTTCTGCATTTATTTAGACTATATGTTCCATATCACAACATTCCGCCCTGCTTTCAGTACATATTCGACACAATACAACACAAAATGTGTAGCTAAAACAGACAGTGTAATGAAATGAATATGTGTTTGAGAACACAACACAATTAACACAATAAATACAATTTATCTGTGTAAGTACATGTATATAATGCGCACTGGTACGTAAAGTGTCTGTACTATTTTGTCTGAAGCATTTCCATCAGTGAAACCATCCACACACACACTCGTGCACACACACTCTTACCTGCTGCTCTAACACACTCTCCCCATGTCCCTGAGATCCTGAAGATGAACCAGTCGTCTCTCACTGCATGTCCAGCTTCATGTCCAGTGTTTGGTCAGGACTGTTTCCATTATTGTGTCACTAAAAAGGCTTCAGAGACTTGTAGCGGCTTTAAGAGTAAAACACACACGCACTGAGCGCTGTGTGAAGAAGGAAGTGAGTTTAGGGAAGGTGCACACACGTACACACACGCACACACACACACACACATGGGGGAGGAGCATCCACAAACACACACACACACACACACACACATGCTCTTGAGCGGAAGCAGTTCTCTCTGTTTGTGTTATTTTTATGAATTAAAGTGCAGAGCTGCTGAGCACAGAGTTCTCACTGACCTGTAGAGCCAGCTGGACAGTTACATATAAACATATAAAGTTACATAAACATGTATAAGTTATGTATAAATTTACATAGTTATACATGTATAAATGTATTTACATACATTTATTTAAAGGGCTCATAATTCATTTTTACACGACTCTCTTTATCCCTTAGGCTGTTTCTGTCACTGTGTCTTCAAAGCTGATAATATGTAAATGAGCTCTGTTCTGATTGGCTGCCCCCTACTAAAAAAGCAGGCTGAAACACTTCTAATAACTTCAGTGTGAGCGGGCGGAGCTAACGTTTTGTAGGCTGAATATATATAAATGTGTCAGCTTTTTGTGACATCACAATAACAATACATTCAAAACAAGCTGTTTTTGCAGCGTAGTTTCCTTAGTCGTAGTGTTTTATAAAGGTTCAGTGTTACAGTTATTTGATTACAATACAGTTGCAAGATGATTGTACAGTTCGCTTTACACGATCAAACTTTCATGCAACTTTAGTTTACATGAAACGAAATTGCACTTGAGCTGCATAATGTAAAGGGTCCAGCAACTCGTTTGAAATTCAACTTCGTTGGGTCAACTTCGTGACACGTTTCATGAAGCAGCCAACCAAAGCAGCATGTGATGGCGTCCTAAGATAAAGTTTTAAAAACAATTGTTTTCGCTGGATTAGTGGACGAGAAAACAAACCTGAAGCTGGTTTAGTGGACGGCTGAAAAGGAGACCCTCCTGATTAACTTTTTGAAAGACTGATAGATGTTCATTTTGCCAGTTTCCTGAACATAATTTATCATGATATATATGCTGCATGCAACTCACAACACGCAACTAGTTGCATGAAAGTTTCACTGTGCAAAGCCAGCCTGAGTGTAGACTACATGTGTTCATTGTAAAAACACTGTAATGTTTACTGGCTGGTTGGTCTGCTGCTTAGACATCGGTTAAGAATGAGCACGAGCGCTCACGAGGAAAAGAAAACTCTTAATGGCCGAGTGCCGGTGTGAAGCCCAGCCTCACGTCCCTGTCCTCATTTCACTTCACAAGGACCCTTAGCCAGAGTTAGCAAGTTAGCATGTTTTCATTATCATGCAAGCCAGTACTATTAACTGTAAAATGAGTCACTGTTTTAATTCAGCTGTGTGCTAGCTTTGTTGCATTTGACAGGCTTACTGCAAACTCCTAGGATCATTCCCAGCTCAGGTGGTGGAAGGTTATTTTCTTGTAGAGCTTTTAAACTCCTAAACTCCAGATAACTTTACAGGAGAAGGAAAAAACTACTTTACTTTTAATGTAAGTCAATGGAACCAGACTTTTTTCTTGTGTTATTTTTGGCCATTTCTTTTCATCCATTCAGCATGAAATTTACACAATGTAAAGGCCAACAGGCATTTTCAAACTATGTCAAAAACTGAAAAACGAGGTTTTGTCCCGACAGCAACGATATAGTCCTGCTGCGCACAAATCACACACTATGAGAGTGAATTCCACACTGTAAACACTTTTCCTGCCACTTTTTCTGTGTTTATGAGATTCATATATAAACATGTATTTGTTGTGCAGGTCTGAAACTTGTGCAAGCATGACAAGGTAAAACAGCACCCCCCTTGTGTGGAGGAGCTGAACTGTAAGGGACACAGACAGTGAAACAGGCCTCAGCTCATAAACACCTGTTCCAGTCTGATCTTTTACTGAGATGAGGAGAGGAGGTGGACTGTGTGTGTGGGTGAGGGGGTGGTGGTTGTTGTTGGGGGGGGTGAAGAGGGGGTCTGTGTTACACTCTTCTCGCTCTGGCTGCACTAGACTAAAGACAACACTTTCCCTTCACTTCCTCATACAAGCCCCAATTTGCATGCTTTACTTACCGTAAGTCCCCCCTGCTACCCCCACCCCTCCCCCCTGCACTCACATGCACATTTTTGCTTCTCTTTTGATTCAGGATGAATCATTACAGTTTTTCTCTTCACTGCTCAAACACTTTTTTTCATTATTGTTGATAATGTCGACACTAACACATTTTCGAAGCGGCTGCAGTGAGTTTCGATGACAGAAAATGGACAGACAGACTAGTTACACGTTGGCAAAACAGTTAACCCTTAACGTCCCAGGCTTATTACACACTTGTTCAGTAACTACAGGGACGTCAATGCAAACTATTTAAACTATTCTTAGGATATAGAAGTGTGTAATAAAACTTTGGGCCTGCTGGTGGGTCCATGGCCTGCAAAGGGGAAAAACAAGGCTGTCCACTGTCACCATTACAGTTAAATCTGTATGCAGATGTAATAAGAGCTTGTGAGTTCAAACTGTGCCTTCAACATGGTGGTGGTAGTATGAGGGAAGACTAATTAAGGGAGGGGGAGAACTCCGAGAACTTGAGAACTGCCTGTAGCTAGAAGGCCAGACCCCCTGTCATAGCTGTAGAAGGACTGATGTATGACTGAGGAACAGGGAGGAGATGGGATGGTGGTGGGGATTACGAACACTTTGTCACGGGAACAGAAGGCGAGGATGTGAATTTATAGACCGTTAGATTGGAAGAAGGAGGGGTTTCAGCCATGCTCCTCCCCCCAAATCTCAGTTATAGCATAACTACATAAGCAGGCATAAACCCTCTGATATGTGGATGATATAACACCCATAGTATAAGAGACCTGAAGTCTCTTATAAGGAAGGATAAAGAACAGAGTGAAGAGATGGGCCCAACATGAAGAAGAATAAGCTTATGATGACAGAAAAGGCAGCTAACTTTTCCAGATACTATAGGGTATGTGTAAATTTCAATATAAAACTTATAGCTACGTTGAAACTGTGTTACTTGGTGCAACTAGTAGCTCGCAAACTTGAACATAGTGGCAGTTTCTGTTCAAACTTGCGTTCAGCTCGTACACCTGGCTGCAGAAACATTTAAAGGCTGGGACCACCAAGAGGTTCAAATCAGAGGACCTCAGGGTATGAGCAGGAGGTCAGGGGAGGAGGAGGTCAGCTACAGAAGGGTTTCTAGACCATTCAGGGCGAGAAGGATCTAAAACTGGATAACCAGTTCAGCTGACAGAGAACCGGGCTAATGTGAGCAGATTTTTTGAAGAGAACACTGAGTGAGCAGCAGAGTTTTGAACGTATTGAAGGTGGTGCAAGATTTTTGCTGGCATACCAATAAAAACAGAGTTACGATAATCTGGGTGTGATGTTATGAAGGTGTCGATCAAAGTTTCAGCAACTTTCATGCTCAATATAGGGCGGAGGCAGGTAATGTTGTGGAGGTGCAAAAAACACTTTGAACAAACACACTTATGTGAGGTTCAAAAGAGAGGACTGATTCAAAAAGAACACCGAGGTTATAGAAACCCTATATACTATATATATATATATATATATGTATATGTATATATATATATGTATGTATGTATGTGTATATATATATATATATATATATATATATATATATATATACACATAAAACCAAGAACTCCTTTGTGAAATACCCTCTAGGTTTCTCTTTTAAGCTATTCAGCCTTCATTAGTGCTGTAAATTATATAACACTGTCAGATTAAAAGGTTCTGTGTAGGTACAAACAACCTAAATGTTCCCTTAAAGGTACAACAGTGGTTTTAAGGTCCAATGGTAAGTTTTTCCTCAGGGGAAAGTACATAATGTATCTTTTCATAAACTAATGATTTAAAACAGAACAATAAAATAAAGAGCCTGGAGCTGAGACAGGGTGTCTGGAGTCAATACAACTTAGAAAATATAATTTCAATGGATTTTGGTACAGTTATGCTTCCTAACCAGAGGTACTGAAGGCGCACCCTTGAGGGAACCACCCCAGTGACAGTATAGCACCTTCTTTTTTCTAAGAGAGAATGTACCATACAATGAAATCTATCTATTCTTTCTCCTGGATAGTTTTACTAGAGTTAAAATGAGCTCATTAAAAAAACAAGTCTGAACCACATCATCATCTCGCTGGGTGAGGCGCATATAGACCTGCAGGATGCGTGAATCTCAAACACCTGTTTTTAAACCCAGCACAGGGCTTAGGGTGCGTTTTGGGACAGGCCCAGTGTGTGACCTCACGTGCCCTCACTCATTCTGCATGCAGAAAACCTCAATGCTGCCATCTAGTGGAGCTATTTGCATTAAACACAGAAACTTTTCAGAAACAATATACTGCAGGCATATATGGATTACTGTTGGGTATTTAAATTAGCAATTAAATTAGCTTAATGCATGTTTGCTGTTCTGTTAGCCAGGCTTAGCTGTTAAGGCTGAACACATTAGTTGGGACAGAGGGATGTTTACCACTGTGTTACATCACCTTTCCTTTTAATCACACTTTTTAATCATTTGGGAACAGAGGACACTGACTGTTGCAGATTTGCATGTGGTGGTCATCGTTGTCTGATTCTCCTCTTCATGATGTGCCAGACATTTTCAACAGGAGACAGATGTGGACTGCAAACGGGCCAGTCAAACACACACACTCTGTGTCTATGAAGCCACGCTGTAGCAGCACATTTAGAATGAGGCTTGGCATTGTCTTTCTGAAATAACCATAGACGTCGTCTTGACGGCAGCATTTGTCTCTCTAAAATCTCAACATAAGGCTACGCATCAATGGCACCTTCACACTCGTGCAGGTCACCTATGGTGTGGACACTGATGCTTTGATGAGAACTCGACTTCTGTCCCAAAAATAAGCTGAAACATGGAATCACCTGACCACAGCACACATTTCCTGAGTCTTTCAGGCCATCTGAGATGAGCTTGGGCCCAGAGAACTCGGCAGTGTTTCTGTATATAATTGATGTATGACTTTCTCCTTGCTATATAAAGTTTCACGTTACATTTCTTGTTGCAGCGGCAGACTGTGTTACGTGAAGATGGTTTTCCAAAGTAATCCTAAAGTAATTTCTTTGTTCTTTTGTCAGTTACATAATGGTTCAAGAGAATTACGAAATCACAGATTCTTGTTTTATTGAATTATACAAAATGTCCCAACTTCTCCAGAAATACTAGTTACTTCACAGAAGCCAACAACGCTGGGAAGCTTTTTGGGCACAAGACTTTTCAGTCTGTAGGATTCCAGATACACTGATCTTAGCTAGATTTACCTCAGTAACTATAAAAAATAAACAGTCAGATATGGTGTGTAGAGCTGTTCTAGTGGCAGGAGGCAGTAACTTAGCACGCTGCAGCTTTAAACACCACAGCATGGGTTTGATTTTCAGCCCACTGAAGTTCACAAGTTTTGAAGACAAAGATAAATACAGGGTGATTCAAAAAGATTCATCCGATTTCAAAGTGCCATATTTTACAACCATGAGGCGCCTAGGAACCAATCACATACCAATTGAAAGAGGGGGTCATATAGCTTCTGACTGTCACTGGAAGATGGCTCCCTTAAGTCTGCGAGGATATGGCGACCCCTGAGCAGAAAGCGTGTTGCGTTCTCCACTTCAGTAAGAGTGAATCCGTCATAACTGTGCAACGTGATTTTCATCGGCAGTGAACCTCCAACAGCTCAGAGCATTCGTCGTTGGTTCCACAACACTGGATGATCTCTGAAATCACATTAAAAGAGCTGTGAGTGCAGCGACACCCGACATGCTCAATCGAGTATGGGATGAATTTGACTATCGCATTGTTGTTGTCCATACAGCTGGAAGAGGTTCATATTGAGCACTTGTAAAATTACATAATAAACTTTATGCTCACATAAACCATTTACAATTTACTGCATTGTTCTGTAATGATTTACAAGTGAAATAAATCATTTTGATATTGGATGAATCTTTTTGAATCAACCTGTATTTTCAGCCACAGAAAGAACTTAGTACTTAAAACTTAGTACTAAGAAGTATTAAACAAGGAAAGAAAATGTGCTAGCATAGTCAACTCCACTAAGCTGTCTTTAGCACTGTTCAACAATTAGCAATTGTTTTTAAATTTATGTTTTTTCAATTAACATGTAATGGGTGGTGAATTGAAAACATGCTAGTTTAGTTTCAGATTACATTATTAAAGGGAGCTTATTTTTGTTTCTGCTGCTCAGTCTGTTTAAATAAAGATGACTGCATTTGCCATTTTTAGTAGTTTCCCCAACAGTGATACCAAAAATATCACACATTTTATTATTATAAGTTATGCTTAAGGTTTATAGTTTTGAAACTGTTTTACTACTCTGGCTCATTGGGACTTTCCTGCTCTCTCACTGTACAGACTGTCCTGCACTGCCTGTACTTACACTGATGCATAGCAATGTGTTTGGCATACTGGGGGAGCTGCAGCTGGAGCTCAATGTCAAATGCATTGCTATGCATCAGTGTACAGTGTACAGTGCTAATGTCAGTTACGCTATAGGCAGCGTCCAAACCACTTTAACTCCATACACATTGTGTCAGTGCTGTTTCTCTGTACAGCCGGGAGGAGTGTTTGGCCATTCTACAGCATTTTGATGTTGCTCATTTGCGGAACCAAAAGTAGCGCTTGGAGGGTTTTGGTGGCACACCAAAAAAACAAGGGTGAGAGAATGAGTTCTAAATTTTTATAACTAAAGTAGATAGCCACAGACAGCATCTTCACTGCTCATCATCATTGTTCATCACTGCTCATCAACACTTTTAATCACTGCTCATTAATGCTCTTCACCATCACTGTTCATCATCACAGCATCATCACTTCATCAACTTTCATCACTGCTCATCATCACTGTTCATCACTGCTCATCAACACTGTTCATCACTGCTCATTAACACTCTTCACCATCACTGTTCATCACCATCGCTTCATCACTACTCATCATCACTGTTCACCATCACTGTTCACCATCACTGTTCATCTCCCCTTATCATGACAGTATCACCATTCATCTTCACTGCATCATCAGTGTTCATCTGTTTATCACAATATCACCACTGTGCATCATCGCGTTTTTACTTTTCATCCCCACTGCTCATCACAGCATCATCACAGTTCATAACCGCAGTATTATCAGTGATCATCATCACTGTTAATTACCACAGCATCATCGATTTTCACCTTGGCATCATTACCCCAGTATTATCAGTGATCATCATCACTGTTAATTACCACAGCATCATTACTGTTCACCTTGGCATCATCACTCTTCATCACCACAGCATCATCACTATTTATAACTACAGCATCATCACTGTTCATTGCTGTTCATCAGCACAGTTCATTACTGTTCATCTCCATTGTTCATCACAACATTATCACTGTTCATCTCAACATAATAACTGTTCATCTCAGCATCATCACTGTTTACCATGACTGTTTATCATCACTGTTCATAACAGAATGATCAGTGTTCACCTCAGCATCATCACAGTTCACCACCTCCGTTGATCACAGCATTATCTCTGTTGATCATCACAGTTCATCACCACTGTTGGTCATACTTTATCACTATTCATCTTCACAGTTCATTACCACTGTCGGTCACAGCATTATCACTATTCATCTTCACAGTTCATCACCACTGTCGGTCACAGCATTATCACTATTCATCTTCACAGTTCATCACCACTGTCGGTCACAGCATTATCACTATTCATTTTGACAGTTCATCACCACTGTCGATCACAGCATTATCACTATTCATTATCACAGTTCATTACCAATGTTGATCACAGCATTATCACTATTCATCATCACAGTTCATCACCACTGTTGAATAATAAACAATGAAAATATGAATAACTATCATATAATAAGACAATAAATATTTTACTTATTGTAATTTTTAAATGAATTATAATAATAGTCTTCATCAATATTATTATTGACGACATTATTACTAAATAACAACATTATGGTTGTTATTGTTGTTGTTTAATGCAGGTCTTATTATTATTATTAATGCTGCAATTATTATAACAGTGCAGCAGTATATTCTTCTTCCTCTTCTTATTATTAATTTCTAATTTCTAATCTAATTATTATTATTACTATTATTAATAGTAGCAGTAATATTAATGTTTTGTTGTTATTTACTGCTGGTGTTATTATTGATGATGCAATTTATTCATATTTTGAATGCTTTGATTGAATATGATATTATTATTATTATTATTATTAGTAGTAGTAGTAGTACTAGTAGTAGTAGCAGCAGTAATTAATGTTTTTGTTGCTGTTCTTTACTGCTGGTGTTCTTATTATTCATGATGCAATTAGGGGTGCTTTGATTAAATATGATATTATTATTATTATTATTATTATTAGTAGTAGTAGTAGTAGTAGTTGTAACATTAAAGTTTTGTTGTTATTACTGCTGATGTTATTATAAATGTTGCAATTAATAAATATTATAAGTGCTAAGATTGAATATATTATTTTTATTAGTATTATTATTATTAGTAGTAATTGTAGTAGTGCTTTTCATGTTGTAGTTATTTATTGCCAGTTTTCTGATTAATAATGCTGTGATTATTATTACTGTAAACGTTATGAATGCTATAATCGAAAACTATATATAATTTTTTAGTAGTACTAGTTTTGTTGTTATTATGGTTGTTTATTGCCAGTTTTCTTCTTATTATTATTAATATTCTTTTAACTGTGAATATTATAAATACTGTAGTTGAATATTATATTAGCAGTTGTGCTGTTTTGTTGTTGTTGTTGTTGCAGCTGTTGTTTACTGCTAGTCTTCTGATTATTAATGTTTAATTATTACAACTATGAATATTATTAACCATGAATATTATTATATTATTATCATTACTTTTAGCAGCAGTTTAATAAGTGACAGCGCTGAGTCTTCAGCGTCTCTAATTAAGCGATTCACTAAGCCACCACAAGGCGCTGCTGTTCACTACTACAGAGAGAGAGAGAGAAGAAAGAGAGAGAGAGAGAGAGAGAGAGAGAGAGAGGCAGGGGGACAGAGAGAGAGATACAGGGAGAGAGAGATAGAAAGAGATCGCGTCTGAGCGCGTGTTGCCTTCTGTGCGCGCGCGTATGCGTGTGTGGAGCTCGCGCTCCCTCCCGTCTCCCCAAACTTCCCTGCAGAAGCCCCCTCAGTGCCGCGCAGCTCTCCTTCAGGTCCGGTGCGCGCGAAGAGTCTCCAAAAAGCTTCTCTCTCTCTTACTCGCTCACTCACTCCCTCACACACACACACACATACAGACACATACACACTCCACCCCGCGCGCGCTCTCTCTCTCTCTCTCTCTCTCTCTCTCTCACACACACACACACACACACACACACACACACTCGCCGATGAGGACCGTGTCGCTCGCGCTGCTGGCCCTGGCCGGGCTGTGGTTGGCCGTGGCTCGCGCTGGCGCGCAGGGCTCGAGCCCCGACCCGTGCTACGACGAGCACGGGGCCGCGCGCCGCTGCATCCCGGACTTCGTGAACGCGGCGTTCGGCAAGGAGGTGCGCGCCTCCAGCACGTGCGGCACGCGGGGGCCCAGCCGCTACTGCGCGAGGGGCGAGGAGGGCGCGCGCACCTGCCACACGTGCGACGCCTCGGACCCGCGGCGCGCGCATCCGGCCTCCTACCTGACCGACCTCAACAACCCGCACAACCTCACGTGCTGGCAGTCGGAGACGGGCGTGCAGCGCGCGCCCAACGTCTCGCTGACTCTCTCGCTAGGCAAGAAGTTCGAGGTGACCTACGTCAGCGTGCAGTTCTGCTCGCGGCGGCCGGACTCGATGGCCATCTCCAAGTCGATGGACTACGGCAAGACGTGGGTGCCCTTCCAGTTCTACTCCACGCAGTGCCGGAAGGTGTACGGCCGGCCCAGCCGCGCGCCCATCACCAAGCAGAACGAGCAGGAGGCGGTGTGCACGGACGCGCACGCGGACGCGCGGCCGCTGTCGGGCGGCCTGGTGGCCTTCAGCACGCTGGACGGGCGGCCGTCGGCGCACGACTTCGACAGCTCGCCCGTGCTGCAGGACTGGGTGACGGCCACGGACATCCGAGTGACCTTCAGCCGCCTGCGTGCGCCGGGGGAGCCGGACGAGGGCGAGGGCGAGGACGAGGACGCGCAGCACTTCTACGCCGTGTCCGACCTGCAGGTGGGCGGGCGCTGCAAGTGCAACGGGCACGCGTCGCGGTGCGTCAGGGAGCGCGAGTCCGGGGGGCTCGTGTGCGACTGCAAGCACAACACGGCCGGAGCGGAGTGCGACCGCTGCAAGCCCTTCCACTACGACCGGCCGTGGCAGCGCGCGACCGCCAGAGAGGCGCACGAGTGCGTGGGTGAGTAGCCCAGAACTGCAACACCTGGTGCATCTGATAGCGCGGTTAAAATCACTGTGTGATGGCTTGTAGGGGACGCCCACCCGCTTTTCAGAAATTCCGATAAAATTCAGTGGTTCGTTGCTGAGACTGTAATTTTGGCTGAAATGGGAAAAAAAGTTTTCTTTGGCGACTGTTTTGGCTCACGTGTACCCCTCCATCTAAGCCATTTAACTGCGTGGAAATTTTGGAAATTCGATGGAGCTCCCCTTTTAATTTCAGGAACAATTAGCAGGTTGAAAATGTGTGAGAAGAGCAAACTGATATTAACCGGCTTGAATGACTTAAAGTGGGCTTCAACTCATATTTAAAAATTCAGTGGTTAGTTGTTGAGGATGTGTCATTTTGGTGAAAATGACACATCCTTTCTGGGGAAAATATATATATATATCTTTGGGGACTATTTTGGCTCACATGTATCCCTGCTGTGTGGAAATTTCAGAAATTTGTTGGAGTTCCCCTTTTAATTTCACCCACAATTAACAGGTTGAAAATTAAAATGTGTAAAGAGCAAATTGATAATAAACTTACGATGTTCTGATAATCTCAGCTGTGATGACTTTAAGGGAGCGTCCACCCACGTTTCAAAAATTACTGTAAAAATTCAGTGGTTCGTTGTAGAGACTGTGTAATTTGGTAAAATAAAAAAGTTTTATTTGGGGACTGTTTTGCCTCATACGTACCCCTCCACCATGACTGGATAAAAAATGAGTTATTACTCATAACCATTTCATGTGATTCCTTTCTGTGAGGGAGCTTTTACAGGTGGATGTCTGGTTCCTATCACCACCACTGTGAACAGTTCTAACTGAACGGAGCGTTTCACACCAAACCACTCTGTTCACATCTGAACCTTTTAACTGCACGGAAATTTTGGAAATTCAGTGGAGTCCTCCCTTTAATTTCCCCTCAATTAGCACTTTGAAAATTCAAATGCCAGAAGAGCAAACTGATAATAAACTATTAGAGTTCTGATAATCACGACTAGAATGACTCAAAGGTGACATCCACCCATTTTTTAAAATTCAGAATTCAGTGAAATTGTTCATTGTATTTTGGTAAAATGCAAAAAAAAGTTTTCTTTGGTGACTTTTCGCCTTACATCTCCCTGCATGTGTGCCTCCACCATGAGTGGATAAAAAATTGCGTTTTCATAGCTGTTTCATAGATTTTAATTTCCCACAATTAGAAGGTTGAAAACTGATAATAAACGTATAGTGTTCTGATAATCACAGCTAGAATGACTCAAAGTGGTCATCCACTTATTTTTTAAAATACCTCTAAAAATTCTGTGAAATCGTTCATTGTAGAGCAACTGTGTTGAAATTAAATAAAAAACTATGTAGGGGTGGTTTACCTCACATGTACCCTTCCTCTATGAATGGATAAAATAAATTCATCCCAAAAATCAGGCAGTGTGTTCATAACCATTTCACGTAACAACTTACAACAACTGTGAGGGAGTTTTTAGAGCTGGAGGTCTGGTTACTATCACCACCACTGTGAACAATTCTGACTGGATGAATCATTTCAAACCAAACCGCACTGTTTACATCTGAACTATAACTACATGAACATTTTGGAAATTTGCTGGAGTTCTCCTTTTAATCTCCCCACAAATAACAGGCTAAAAACTCCAATGTGAGAAGAGCAAACTGAGCAAGACCTGACTTCTGTTTATTAGCTCCTATTTTTCCTTCCGATGTTGTTTTCACATGCGCAGCATTTTCATGTGTTACATCCTTGCTGTCCAAAAAACAAACAAACAAACAAACAAATTCTTTACATTGCATTTTCATAGTGCAGAATGCAAATATTTTGACGTTAACTTGCGTTAATATTTTCCTCCTCCTGTGAAGATGCTCCACTTCTGTTTTTTGGATGGCGTTATACAGTGTACACCCTTAAAAAAGGTGGTTCTTCAAGGGCTTTTTAGTAAAGGCAGTGGTTCTATTTTGAACCGTGAGTTCTATATAGAACCATTTCATGCTTAAATGGTTCTTTGCATGGTGAAATGGTTCTTCAGATTGAAGGAGAATGTTGTTTTTGTAAATGGTTCTATATACCGCCAAAAAGTATTGTGATGATGTTAAGCGTGTAACTGAACCATTTTACCATGCAGAGAACCACTGGAAATGAAATGCTTTTAAATAGCGATCATGGTTCTAAATAGAACCACTGTCTTTACTAAAGAACCTTAAAAGAACAATCTTTTTAAAGGATATATATGTATAGTTATTCTAAACGTGATGGTGTTTTTGTGCAGTTGTTACTCAGCATCTTTATAAAATCTACATGTTACTTTAAAGGTGCATAATCTAAACTGAAGTGCTGTGAAAACCAATGAATATTTAAATATTTATATACAGCAAAGTTATGCAAAAGTTTCAGCACCTTAGGTGCAGTGCTGCAGGTGTTGGGTAGGTTGGGTGTCTTGTGTTGGGTGTGTTTAGTGCAGAGGGGCACAAACTTTTTGTCTTGGGGGGCCAAAGTGTGATGTTTGTGGTGGGCATATCAGTCAGATACTGATATGAATCATAAGCAGATATTTGCTTAAAGGGGAACTCCACCGGATTGTAAAAATTCCGGCATAATTAAGTGGTTAGGATGTAAACAGAGTCATTCAGAGTGGTTTGGTGTGAAATGCTCTGTTCTAGAGAAAGTCAGAATTATTCACACTGGTGGTGATAGGAACCAGACGTCCCTCACAGAAAGTTATTACATGAAATGGTTATGAATACACTGCCTGATGTGTATAGGCAGATAGTTTTGAGAGGATGTTGGCCTTAAAATCCATTCATGGTGGAGGGATACATAATATGCAGGGCATTGTGAGGCAAAATAGTCCCCGAAGAAAACTTGGCGACCCCTGGTTCCTATCACCACCACTGTAAAGAAATCTGAACCATTTCACACCAAACCGCTCTGAATCACTCTGTTTACATCTCACACACTGATTTATAGAGGAATTTTGAAAAAATGGATGGAATTCCCTTTAAAGGTCAGATGTAGATACATTTTACAGGTGGCTGTTAGTTTAACCTTGGTGGTGTTTTGTGCTCAGGTTTAAAGAGAGTCATTAAAAGTGTCAGAAATCAACACATTGCTGGTGGTGCTGATGCTGGTTAATCAGTAAATATTCAGTAATGAAGTTTGTGTTCAGGGTTGTTTATGTGTGATGACTTGAATAGAAAAACTTTTTTTATGCTTTTATATAGATGTTATCACTGTAAATGTGTTGTACTGTATGATTGTGGGAGCATCGCTGGGTTCCATCACAAAACAGCCAACACAGTTTAACACTTTATTATCTATATAAGATTATTACAATGTTATAATCAGAATCTGACTTTATAGGCCAAATATGTTCACACACACAAGGAATTTGTCTTCAGTGACACAGCAGCTGCTGATCGCCGATCGCCGGTTGCTTCCTGATGCTTATAGGGTTCTTTGCATGGTGAAATGGTTCTTCAGATTGATGGAGAATTTTTGAATTTTTGGTTATTTTTAGTACCAAAAAGCATTCTGCTATTATTTACAATGACAAACTTTGTAACAATAGCAGAACCCTTTCTGGTGCTTTATAGAACCATTACAACACATCAATTCTCCATCAATCTGAAGAACCATTTCACTATGCAAAGAACCCTTTAAGCATGCAGATGGTTCTTTCAGTGTTCAGCGTTCTTTATAGACAATAGTCTTAACTAAAGAACCCTTGAAGAACTTTTTTTTCTAAGAGCATATTGAAAAATATGTTTGTTCTCGCAATATAATGTTAATACTGTAATTTGTAGTTATTTTACCATCATTAAATACTGTAATATTATATGTGATATAATATATCACATTATTTAATATATAATATTACAATATTTAATAAATACATATACACAATTACAGTATTTATTATATAATATTAAAGTATTTAATAAATGTCCATCACAAATAAAAAAGGAATGAAGAATAATATAATAAATCATTTGAAGGAGCAGAACGATGAGCACAAACACTAACACAGGATTCCTTTAATATCAGCCAAAATAAAATGGTCTAAAATAACAATTTTGAATTGCAAACAATTTTTTATCCAAACGTTTGGTCACATTCCATGTGTTTGTTGATTTTCTTAGTGAACACATCCTCTCACAGAACACAGAACACACAAATATAGATTTTTTATGCAAATTCTAGGACGAAATTTCTGTTTATTTGGTGAAACAATAAAACATAAAATAAAAAGTGTGGCATAACTTTTGCACAGGCCACATTGTGTGCTTCATACTGACTAATGTGTTAAATTCAGCAAATAAACAGTGATTGTGGATTAAAGTGAGTCTCTGTAGAGAATGAATAAAAAATACATGCAATTCCAAATTCACAAAAATGGAATATGTATTTATTACTGCTTCACCACACTGAAATATTTCTCATACAAGTAAAATAAGAAGGTGAAATTTAGTCGACTGTAAACTAAAATGTTTGCGGCTTGTTTTTTCATTTAGTGTTAATTAAATTAGAGTCCTTTTAATTATTATTATTATTATTATTATTATTATCTGAAACAACTAGAATCAGCTTCATATTGTGAGATATTGGACAGATTTAATCGCTAAACTAGCAGCACTGAGAGAGACACACACAGTGAGAGCAGCTCTCTCGTCCACTCACATCAGAACTGCTTTGGCCGTCTCTGGAAAACTGACCATGTCCATGTGCTATGAGTGCAGCAGCTGCTTCTATTAAAGGGAAATTCCACCACTTTTTCCCAAAAAATTTCAGAGTGATTCAGAGTGGTTTGGTGTGAAATGGTTCAGATTCTTTACAGTGGTGGTGATAGGAACCAGGGGTCGCCATGACTACAACACAAATATAGACATTTTATTTACTATCCAAAACCACCAGTGAACCTACACGTGTCTTCTGAGTTTATATGGAATGTTGATGATGGGAAAATA